AATTGCAGGAATTAAAGACTCAAATTCAAGAGTTGCTGAATCTCGGTTTTATACGACCGAGCGTTTCTCCTTGGGAAGCACCAGTCCTTTTTGTCAAGAACAAGGATGGATCCATGCGTATGTGTATTGACTACCGGGATCTTAACCGGTTGACGATCAAGAACAAATATCCATTTCCCAGGATCAATGATTTATTTGATCAGTTGAGGGGTGCCTGCGTGTTTTCTAAGATCGATTTGCGTTCAGGCTACCATAAGCTGAAAATCAAGGAGTCAGACATACTCAAGACAGCTTTTCGTACGAGATACGGTCATTTCGAGTTCGTGGTTATGCCGTTTGGCCTCAGTAATGCCCCGACAGTATTCATGGACTTGATGAACCGTGTGTTTCATCCTTTTCTCCACCAGTTCGTTATTGTTTTTATCGATGATATTCTTATTTATTCCAAGAGACAGGAGGAGCACGAGGAGCACCTGAGGGCCGTTCTTTCGACCCTTAGACGAGAGATGTTATATGCAAAGTTTTCCAAGTGCGAATTTTGGCTTCAGCGAGTGGCTTTTCTTGGCCACATTATTACTTCAGCAGGTATTGAAGTTGATCCTTCCAAGATTGCTGCAGTCCAGAATTGGTCAGCACCGAATAATCCGTCCGAGGTTCGTAGTTTTCTCGGCCTTGCAGGTTATTATCGCAGATTTATCGAAGGGTTCTCGAAGATTGAACTCCCTTTGTCTCAGCTGACGAGGAAGTCTGTAAAATTCGAGTGGACAGACCATTGTGAGTCGAGTTTTCAGGAGCTGAAAAGGAGGCTTACGACGGCACCGTTGTTGACTATACCCGATCCTTCTCGGAGCTTCACCATCTATATTGATGCTTCGAGGAAGGGTTTGGGATGTGTACTTATGCAAGATGGCCAGGTCGTTGCTTATGCGTCACGCCAGCTCAAAACCCATGAACAGAACTATCCGACGCACGACTTGGAATTAGCTGCAGTTGTTCATGCTTTCAAGATTTGGCGACACTATCTATACGGCGGTCAATGTGAAATCTTTACTGATCATAAGAGCTTGCAGTATATTTTTACTCAGAAGGAGCTCAATATGAGGCAGCGCCGTTGGTTAGAGCTCGTCAAGGATTACGATTGTACGATCCAGTACCATCCGGGAAAGGCAAATGTTGTTGCTGATGCCCTAAGCCGCAAGGTGAAGGGTGACTTGACGTACGTTGTTACTCAGCAGAGTTAGTTGATTCATGAGTTCGCGCGGATGCAGATCCAGCTAGTTGATGCACTTCCTACAGCCAGTTTGGGGAGTGTGAATTCCATGTAGGTTCAGTCGACGCTGAGGGAGAGAATCCGGCAAGAGCAGGCTTCAGATGAATTCATTCGTACGATTGATGCCAAGGTTCATGCCGGAGGCGTCGAGGGTTTTCACCGAGGCACTGATGGGGCCTTGGAATTTCGTGGCAGGATTGTGGTGCCTAAAGTCGAAGCATTGAGAAAGGAGATTTTATCTGAGGCTCATACTGCACCCTATCTAGCCCATCCAGGAAGTACAAAGATGTACCATGACCTAAAAGGGTCGTTTTAGTGGAGAGGATTGAAGAAAGATGTTGCCGACTTTGTAAGAAGATGTTTGACCTGTCAGCAAGTCAAAGCCGAGCATAAGATTCCGATAGGCCTTCTACGACCACTGTCGATTCCGAGGTGGAAGTGGGAGGAGGTTGCGATGGATTTTGTCACGGGGTTACCGAGGTCATCTGAACATCACGACGCTATCTGGGTCGTGGTCGACAGATTGACTAAGGTTGCCCACTTCTTGCCAGTATCGATGAGTATGTCTTTGGATCGGTTGGCTGAGATTTATGTCCGTGGAATCGTTCGACTCCATGGAGTACCTGTTACTGTCGTGTCAGACAGAGACCCCAGATTTACCAGCAGATTCTGGAAGAGTTTACACGAGGCAATGGGTACGAAGCTAGCTTTCAGTTCAGCCTACCATCCCGAGACTGACGGACAGACGGAGCGGACTATACAGACGTTAGAGGATATGTTACGCGCTTTGACTGTTGACAGAGGTGCTAAATGGGAGTCGTTGTTGCCATTCGTAGAGTTTGCGTACAACAACAGTTATCATTCTTCTATTCAGATGGCTCCTTATGAGGCACTATACGGTCGTAAATGTCGTTCCCCTCTTTATTGGGACAACGTCGGAGAACGTTGAGTACTCGGTCCAAAGCTGATCGAGGAGACAGCCGAGCAAGTCGAGTTGATCCGACAGAGACTCAGAACAGCTCAGAGCAGAATGAAATCAACCGCCGATCATTATCGACGAGATATTCAGTTCGAGGTTGGCGAGCACGCTTTTCTCAGAGTTAGTCCATTTCGCGGAGTTATTCGGTTCGGGAAGAGAGGGAAGTTACACCCTCGGTTTATTGGCCCGTTCGAAGTACTCGAGCGAGTGGGCGATGTTGCGTATCGTTTAGCCTTACCTCCCGAGTTATCTAGTGTGCACAATGTTTTTCATGTGTCTATGTTACGCAAGTACGTGTGCGACCCCGATCATGTTATTCCTCATACTGATGTTGAGATTCATCCAGACTTATCTTACGAGGAGCGACCGGCAGCTGTGTTGGACCGACAGGTTCGACGGCTCCGGAAGCGTAATGTTCCCCTCGTACGTATTCAGTGGGATCGCCACGGAGCTACTTGGAGCAAGAGGCTGACATTCGCGCTCGTTTTCTCGACTTTCAGTTCTGATATGCATATTTTCATGTATATATGTTTTGTTTTATATTTCCGATGACGGAAATATTTTAAGGAGGGTAGATTGTAATAAACCAACTTTTGTTAATATAAGTGATGTATTATATTTTATTAATTCCGTTCATTTTCAGCAAATAAGTTCGACGTTAAGTCGAAAAGTTTATTCGGTTAATTATTAACCAAGTCAAATTCGATAATTAATTTCCGAACCGTTTATTTTATAAACGGACATTACTAATCGGGATTAATTATTAATAATTCAGCATGTTCGAAATTAAGTTCTAAGTTGAAACTAAGCTAAGTCATGAATCGCACTAAGTACGCACACGTTCATGTAGAGGCGTTATCCGAACTTTATGTTTTGAGTTCCCCTCTATATATTTAATTTTAGTGCCTTCTAGTTGTTTTGTTTTGAATTCCGAGGACATAATTCTTTATAAGGAGGGTAGACTGTAACGCCCCGTTTGATTATGAATTATTGGAGATTGTTATTATTATTATTATTATTATTATTATTATTATTATTATTATTATTATTATTATTATTATTATTA